CCACCAGATTTTTCTTTCTCAGAACTCACCAAGTTCTTTTTGCTCATTAGCTTTTAGCGGGCTGTTCCCTCTGCCTACAACAGAACCAGTGCCAGCGCCCCGCCCACCATCACCTAACTCCCCACCGCTTAGGGTGGCTCCCTCCACCACGTGTCCTGCCTCCCCTGTGCATCTCCTTTGGGGTCCTCTGCTGAGTCCCTCACTACTAGCACACAGTAGGTATCTATACATATTTGTTCAATGACTAGCAATAGGACCCTTCTTGTGTCCTCAGTTTCCGAGGGTGAGAGTGAGGTGAATGAGCCCTTTTCTGCCCAGGACTGATGGCTTTAAAGAGCCCTGACATACCCCGGAGGCCAAGGAGCCCTCCTTCTGGGATGCAGCTGACCAATGGGGTCTGAGGGTTCCCTGGCTGTGCAGAGACCACCCTGGCCACTCCGACAAGGTGAGCTGCTGCCAGGCCAGGGCAAGACTAATTTATAAGGAGGCCCTGGGTGTTCTCCTGGGCATGGAGCTCCGCCCACCCCCCCCCCCATTTTTCTTTTCTCGGGTTCTGGAGTTTTGAGTATGAATTCACATCAGTCCCCTCCGTAACTGTGGAGTAAAGGCTGGCAAACTGTAGTGGGCAGCAGGTTCCGGAGCCCCGGGTTCCAACTCTGGCTCCATCGTCACCTGCCAGTTGCACGGACTAGGAACTTAACTGCCACCAATCTCCGTTTCTTCGGCTGCAAAACTGGACTGATAATAGCACCCACTTCCCAGAGCTGTGGGACTCAGCAGGCTACCATACCTTCCAAGCACCCTGCAGAAAGCACTGCGGGTATTGTTGTTATCAGCATACGGACAGTTCCCACGGTGAGGACCTGGCTAGCAGTGCGCCCTCTCTAAAAGCCCTCACTTTAAGTGTTACTCCCCAGAAGTCATATTTCTTCCACTTTTGTAATAAACTTCCAGAGGTTTACGTAGTTCATTTTTAAGTTACCAATGATTGATCGAAGGGAGGGCACCACACTGGGCTCTGGGGACACAAAGATCAGTAGGACCCATTTCCTGTCTGAGTGAGAACAGACACACCGATAATGACAATTCAGTGAGGGCACGTGTTGAGGCAGCCCACAGACTATGAGGAAAGAGGACTGTAGGGCAGGGGTGCTTGGGGTGTTGGGGAACCCTGGGGTGGATGGAGGGCAGGAGGTATGGAAAGGATGGCCACACACTCCCCTCCTGGGCGTGGATTCCCTGGGAAAGCGAGGCTGGGCTCTGCGGAACACAAACCACAAACCGGGTATGTATCCCTCGTAGACTGAGAACCGTCTCCTGGCAGAGATGGGGTGGAGAGCGCCTCCGAGTCAGACACGGCCGCTGCCCTCCTGGACGGGTGGGATGTCCAGTGGAAGAGACAGGACAGCAATGCTAGATTCCACGCCCCTCTTCCTCCCCTGCTCCACCCCCAGTCCCTCTGAGAGCTGAGGTACCTAGGAGCCTGCCGGAGGTGTCTTGGGAATCAAGCCTGGGTCCCTGCAGTCTGCGATTCTTAGGGGAGGTGTGGTCACTGGAGACGGCAGCTTCAGCCTGGGGGTCAGGGCTGCGTCCCCTCCCTTAAGCTTCAGCAGAGCCTTTTAAGGGGTGACCCTCTGACCTCCAGACTGTTCCCCCTCAACCTCCAGCTAGAAGCCCTTGGGGCAGGAGTTTAGGAAGGAGGGCTCCGGAGGCCTCAGTGTAGATGCAGAGAGGAGGCCAGGGTTGGCTGGGCCGTGAAAGGCTCTAGAGCCCCCTGGGCCCGTGAGGAAGGCTCAGTCAAGGCCGGGAGCCTTGTCAGGTCCAGGGGAGCGCAGGGCAGAGATGCGGGTGCCTAGCCAGGAGGAGGGAGGGGGTGGGCAAAGGGTTCAGCGGAGGGAGCAGGCGGGGCACTGA